TTGCTGTCTGATCTGGCAAAGTTCTATGATATCTGTGATGAATATTACACAGATTAAAGATAAGATTATGGTTGGTTGGTCGGTTGGTTGGATGGCTGGCTGGCTGGCTGGCTGGCTGGCTGGCTGGCTGGTTGATTGGTGATAGCTGATGTTTTTTGTATGGTTGCAAATGGATGGCTGTTTGATTGATTGATGGTTACCATTTCAAGTTATCAGTAGGTGGTTGACTGGCTTGCTAACCGACCGCTTGGATGAATAGTTGGACGATTGATTGATTGACTGATGGATGGATCATTTAGTTAATTCATCCAGTGAAAATTTGTTGAGTTTAGCAAACATTTCGATTTGATTTTAGACAAATTAATATATCAATTAGTTGATTGAGTTGATCAACTTTCCACCATTCGTCCCTAACATTCTCGTGACTGACTACTCTGCAGAGCAAACTGACCAGTTCATCATTCTCATCGAAGACCTTGGTGGTTGGCAGATTGGTGGCCGTCAGTAAGATTGGCGATTGCGATGACGTCATCGGTGTTCTGCTCTCTACTGCTTCCGGTTAGAAGGTGATGATGAATAGGATAATGTTGATCTCGACTTCACTCATTTTTTTCATCAATATACGACGTCATTACAGGAAAATGAGTGAAAGTTGGGCGTGAATGGTAATTAAAATTGAAAAACATCATCTTCCTACACAGGCATCGGTTCAGGGAAGCACTACAAAGTACTTGTCAACTGCGACAGCAAACTGAACAACACTCTACCTGGTATGACCTCTTCAATCAATACATTTCAATTCATCCTTGCACACTTTCTATTTCATCTTATCCTTCTTTCACTAATTTTGACTGAGAATGTTCATTAACGAGTTTATTTTCACAAACTTTATAAATTCAATTTTCATTTTCGTTAACCATTTTTGTACAATTTTCTGATTGGCATTCAAGAAAAGTGAACATTTTACTTGTACTTACATGTTCCAGCAGATGATAGCAAGGACATCAAACCGAAACACTACGTTGGTCTGAGGCCTTACCTGCCGACTGGCTCCATCTCGGCTAGGATATTTGAATTGAGCGCCAACCGTTTCAGCGCTATTTTTAGGAATTGTTTAAAAGTGAATGCCGATAAAATTATTGAAGACGTCAGGAAGAGAGATATGCCGAGGTTCAAGTGAGTTTTTAGGATTTTTTCTTATTATAATTTAATTCACGGTGGTGAATGTGTTAAATAATTTTAGTGGATCAAAAACAATTTCCAACCAGAGATGATCTGCCGTCACCGAGCACTCAACAGGCCAGTCAGGAACTGATGAAAATTGCGAAGGATATTTACGCTGGCGACAACGGCAAGAATCCAACCCCACCGGCTCTACTTGATCCAGTGTCTGACCTGCATATCCATGAGGTTGATGTGGTCGAGTTGTCTCAGAGATACAAGTTCCTCGAAGGTTTTGGATCCGGAGAGGAGTTTAAGTGCCAGGAGAGTGACCTGTTTGTTGAGAAGGTCGCGAGTCTTATCCAACGACTTGAAAATTTGTTGTTTTACATCGATTTATACATCGTTACGTCTGTAGAATTTAATATGGCAAGTCTGAATTTTATGTTAGTATCTAGAGGTGACATTGGAATAGGAAACTTGGAAAAAACCCTTGGGCGTTGAATATTTATTTAAATTTACGGGACACGTTTCAAAATTCAGAAAAACACTTTTGCTGAACGTTTTTCATAATTCAATAAACTGCACTCGTGTGACACCGCCAATAAGTGCAACACCAAAAATCGCTAGACAACTGTTGAAACTTTATTTTGAATATGCGAGTGTTACATAATTTTGTCACATCCATTTAATAAATCGTCTCAATTGCTCAATGTCATCACTGCATGCACGCATTCAATCCAATTTTAAAATTGGATCACATCCATGCCATATGTATATATATCCACCTTCAAATCACATCCACACAATCAATCCAGTTTAGAGAATACAGAGCCGAAGCAAAAATTGACGAGGAGATGAAAGAAATACGGTACAAGTTGTCTGATGAGAGTCTGCTCTTTCTGCCTGAATACCAACAACGAGTTGAAGTTATTATGATGACGTTGTTGTTGTTGTTGTTGTTGTTGTTTTTGTTGTTGTTGCCATGTTCGTTGATACGCGAAGGATGTTGTATTTTTAACCACTAATTAGCTTATAATTACTAATTATTATTTCTTTTTAATTATCATTCCAATCATTATGTAATGTCTTGTGTTAACATCATACATATATAAATATGTATATATATATATATAAGTTACCTTCGTAATAATATTCATTCTAGCTATTGCCATTCATTTTGTTATTACCATATATTACCATTTGATATTTCAATTGTTATCTTTCTAAAGGTACTGCGGTCGTTGAAATGCGTCGACCCGCGTTCGAACACGATCCGCTTGAAAGGCAAGGTGGCTTGCGAGATCAGCCACCAGGAGCTGATCCTCACCGAGGTCATCTTCCAGAATATCCTCTCCGATTTCCCACCCGAAGTCATTGCCGCCCTGCTATCATGCTTGGTGTTTGAGCAGAAGAGGTGCTCCGAGCCGAATCTCAACAAAGTTTTGAATGAGGTTCGTTGGATTGTTTTGTTTTTACACGTGCATTCAAACTTCAATTATTACATCATTATTCTCTTATGTTTATTCATTCATTCATTTGTTTGTTTGTTATGTTACTTTTTTGTTCTACCTACTTCCTGACAGGGTTTGCTTTTTGTTTGACAACATTTTTTAAAGCCATTGTTGCTCAGTCCGGCGGCATTTCATGATTCTTAAGCGTGGATTGTATAGCGACCTAACTTTATTTCGTCGCTATATTTTGCTGTCGTTAACATACACTGTGTGTGTGTTTGTGTGTATGTATGTGTGTGCGCGCGCGCGTGTGTGTGTGTGTGTGCATTGTATATCCACCATCTTCTTTATTCCAGGCCAAAGAGAAGTTCGTCAGACTGGCTGCCAACTTAACAGAAGTTCAGCGTCAGCATGGATTGTTAGGAGTGGATGTGCTGGAGGAATGCAACTTCGGCTTGATGGAAGTTGTTTACGAGTGGGCCAAGGGTGTGGTTAGTTGTAATGATTGCTCGTTGCTAATGCTTCTTATCTCCGTGATGGATATCATTCCTTCATTGTTTTAATACAAATGATCACATAATTTTGCTTACAATTGGGACGATGATGCGTTTTACTTATGGTGACGGCTCTAACAACTCGAAATTTCAAAATAGCTTCCAAGCATGCTTGTAACTATCATTTTCGAATACGAAGATGACAAAAAAGCTTTCAGTCATCATTAAAATAAAATAACGCCATCAACGCTCACAATCGTACAGCCATTCGCTAAGTTGATGGAGCTGACAGATGTGGAGGAAGGGGTGATTGTTCGGTGCATCCAGCGGCTCAGTGAGACCTTCAGGGATCTGACGAAGGTGAGTAACATCATCGGAGACCCTGTACTCAGTAAGAAGGTGGAGGAAGGTCTGAGGATGATTAAGAGGGACATCGTGTTTGCTGCTAGTCTCTACGTGCAGTGATCCTGGTGACGTGAGCAGCTGCTTATGGTGATGATGTTTTGATGACGTGATTGATGATGTAGTGGTGATGTGCTGATGATGTGGTAAGAAAATGTTGTCTGTCTGTATGCATGTGCAGTGATGGTGGTTCGGGTTTTACGGTGGTACGTTTGTTCAGCATGAAGTTAAATGATGATGATCTGGCGATGATGTTGCTATGATGTTATGATGGTCTGGTGATGATGATGATATTTGATGAGGTGATGCTTTTAAAGGAAGTTATGATTGTAGTAAAGGTGATGCTGACGTTAATGGTTATGAGGGATGACGGCGATAGATGTTGTGGTGAAAGTGATAATATCGTCGTGATGTGATGGTGGTCTCTGATGACGTATCAACCGATGCGTCATGATTGTTGTGATGTTCATGATTGAATAATTATGTTTTATTTGTTTATTTGGTTTTTAACTTATTATCATCTTATAAAATCAATCAATCAATCAATCAACCAACAATCAATTAATCAATCAATCAATTAGCTTATGAAGCGATATTTTCGTATAAAAAAAACCATATAAACTTTGTCATTGTTGAGTATTGAAATGAAATCAAGCATCTAAACGTTCGGTCTGTTCCGTCATTATATTAACCGTCACTAGTAACAATTTCTTCGTCACGGATGCAATCACGCGCTGTAAAAAACAAATTGGTTGAGACGTCTGGAGTTATGTTATTGTCGGTTTTGTTCCTGTACTCCATTGCAACATTCAGTAAAATTAAGTCACTTCTGTCAGGTTTGGATTATTAGCAGGACATCGTGAAGGAATCAATTTGATGGTTCGCTTGGAGTGACCGCTGCTGTAATGCTGTGAACGCAGTCAGAAGTATTTTGTAGATCACTTCGATCGTATCATCAGCGTCCATTAAAACTCACAATATCGCCATCCTCATTTATGTGGTTTAGTTACGTCATTAATTACGTCATCAACCTTAAGCAATCACGGCATGTGATCGGCAACCGACATTTTTATTTTATTGACCCGGCTTATCTCTAAACTCTCTCTCCCTTTCTCTCCTTTTCAGTGTCTCTGCCTTCCAAATACCTTATTCTTCCTTTGGTTCTGAGTTTATTGTAGGTAAATAAAAATATTATATATATTTATATAAATAAATATATATGTATGTATATATATATATATATATTTGTGTGCGTGCATTTTTTCAGCATTAGCTGATTTAAACATGTGAACTCACACCGAATCACATACGTCCGGATGAATATGGTGGTGTGTGTGTGCGCGCGCGTGTGTGTGTGATTGCCTTCAGACATAAGCCATGTTTGCGGATGATGTGCAATGCACGTACGCTGATGTACTCATGCAAAAATACGTACATGCATTTATTCCGCCGGTATTTATGTCTTGTACTGATTTTTTTTATTTCCTCCGTATCTTTAATGTCTGTTTGAGCTTTGCTGGTACGCTTTATGTTCCTCTGTATTTTATGATTCTTTTGTTTTGTATCTTTGCTGGTATGCGTGTGTGCGCGCATAGACACACGTCCACACATTCTGACTTACATTAGTCAGGTCTCTACTAGCCACTTTAACTAATATTCGCCAATTACAGAAGAAAACGTTTAAAGCTTTTTTCAAAAAAAAAAAATGAAATCCATTACCAATTATGTTTTTTGAAGTATACCACAAAAAAACTAAGGAGGTTTGAAACGAATAGATGTCTTGGAGTAATAAAAATATCTTGGAAACCAAAAAGTGTAGCAGAAGTGTAAAATATATATTAGCGATGCCGCCGAATCTGGTTGAACGAATGCAATGGATTGGATATTTCCTCATAAATCGTCGTTTCTACAAAGTCGTGGAATGAAAAGTATGCATGTGTATTGAGCAGGCAGGCAGTCCATTGTACCGCGCCGTGGTCACGTGTCACTTGATACTTCAATCTGCACGACGTCAGTGTCTCATTGAAAAATGTTTGTTAACAAACTGCATCGTTCAGCCTTCTTTTCCGCATATTTCCATGGACGTTGGCTGAATAGAAGTTTTAGAAGTTTTTTTTTGGTGCAGTAAATTATCAGGCCCTGTGGATGTTATCTTCCCAACTCATGATCGTCATCGATATTTTACAGCACTGGCAAAACATTTGAAGTTTTTCTTCCAATCAATCTCATCGTCACATGAATTCATTACCATGCGTTAACTCCTCCTTGCTCTGGTTTGCTTTTTTTTTACGGTGTTGCTATTTGAAATCTCGTAATAGTTGTAAAGTACTACAAGTTTATTTTTTTAGACTTTGAGTTTATGCACATTTCAAAGTTTTTTACTAATTCTTTGTTTGGATTTGTTTATTTTTAAAATGAGTTTTGTTGTTTCGAAAGTTAGGAATTAAATGAAGTTTTATGTTCTTTGCGATAGTAACCTATCTTTGGTGCGGCCAGTCTGGGTTTTACAGAATTTTTTCACTGCTGTTTTTTAACGAAAAGTCTAAAAAATATTGTTGCGTGTGGTGCTTGTTTAAATGTTTTTAAACGCTGGAGCCAAATTATTGAATTTTTCTTTTCAATTTTTTCTCTTTTTAAAATTTTATTTCATCAAATTGAAAACGAACATGCGTGCAATTCACCATAAAAAGCATTGAATCATAAATCATGAATAAAAGATTACATAGGATGAAATTAAATATTTTTCAATTCAAAATAAATTATTTTTCTAAAGATTTAACACCCTCTCCCATCGACGCCTGATCGTGATGACCTTCATTAAACTTCACAGTCCCTGAAACATTCCTCTCACCATCATGGCGCATCTGATTTGCTTGCTTCTTTTGCTACTTCAATCAGCGCCATGTTTCCAACGTTTAAACGAGTCTCATTCATTCTCATCGCAAACTCTAGACATTTTTCACAACTGTTTCACTCCTATAAATTTTTTATTCCACCACGCACGCATCTGGGCAAAAGGAGTATGCGAAACTTTGACGCAAAATTTTGAAAACGAATTTTGGCCTTAAAAATTTTTGTTAAAATTGACTACGAAGTCTTCAGGTTGGGATTGAGCGATGGTACACGTTGCTAAAATTTGGAAGACATTTTTTTCCTGGAAAATTAATTTGCATCATAAACATTCGCAATGTTCTGGAATGGCGGTGTTGCGGCTTCCCATCTGAAGAATCGCAATGTAAATAGGAAAATTTTGTACACACTTCTCGACCTGCACACCATTCCACCACTCGCGTCTAAATACATATATTTTCATTTTTGTGTTCACTTCATTCCATTTCATTTGTGTTCACTTCATTCAATTTCATTTGTGTTCACATCATTCCAATTCATTTGTGTTCGCTTCATTCCAATTCCAATACAGCATGAATTTTCATCACTTCTGTAATACTGTAAAACAGACGTGTAGGCTATCTTGAACCATATTAAATAAGCATTGAGAGTATATATATATATATATATACATACACAAATATATATGTATATGTATATATATATATACATACACAAATGTATTTGTATAGCGCACAATATATTTGTCAGCCCTTTGATAGCGTTATGCCAAGCTAGCCTGTATTTATGTTGTGAGCCATTTGAACATTTCTGCCATTTCTTATTTGTTTGTGTGCGTGAAAGTTTCAGTCCAGCCTGTTGTCTGTGCTTCCCTGTGCACGGGTACGTGGGGGATTTATAGGATTTGTACTAATACTGGGTATTTATACTAATACGTTGTATTTAATGCATCATGCATACTCGTATTCGTATGTCTGTAATTTTTTACCTGCGTATGTCTATGTTTGTGTTTGCATCTATTGAAGATTTTGTATATGTGTGTGATGAGTGTGCGCGCATACATTGGTTGTGAAATCATTTTATAAAATTTTGCGTGTATGTATATATATATATAATTGTTGATAATATATATATATATATATATATATATATATATATAAATGTGTGTGTGTGCAATGTATGTGTGTTTGTGTGTGTTTGTTTGTACATATTTATAGATATGTATTTTCTAGGTATACGTCTGTTTGTATGTATAGAATATAGGCAGCCTAGCGTATATCACAATTCTACTGTTGACGCGCCTGGCAATGGTTGATTTCATCCGTAAGATCATTCATCCATTCTATCATTCATTTATTATTGCAATCTTTTATTCATTTATTCATTCTTTTTTTCCCATCTAGTTTCTTTTCATGTTTAACCATTATTAATTCATTTATTCATTCATTCATTCATTCTTACGTTCGTTTGTTCATCCCAGCAAATTGTATCCGGGAATGCTTGTTTAAGAGCCAAGAAATAGCCATGATATTTCATTCCGTGTGGCCACACACACACACACACACACACACATACAAACAAACACACACAGACACACCACACACATAGATCAATTTTGGACAATAGTTTGCTTTATATGATTAAATTTATTCCTATCTTTTTATTGTCGTATATGTTCATTTCATTTTTAATATTCCTAATTGTTTTTCATTTAGTTTTTTGGTTTTATCATGTTTCTTGTTTTTATTATTTCTATAATTTAAATATTTAATTTTTTATTTTCATTTATTATTATTATTATTTTCACGTTTGTGTGCGGTCAATGACATCCATGAAGTCTTAGCATCTCCATCGATGAAGCTAATCAATTCTCAACAGTCCTCTGCTCTTGGTCCAGTGCGAATCCATTTTAAAGTATCTGAACGCTACATCTCGTTGCGTTGTTTTTACGATAAGAAGTTAAGGTGAGGACAACTAACATTTACTTCCATTCGAATCCAACTTTCCCGAATTCAACACACCTTCTATTTAGTTCTTTATTATGCAGCCCTGACATAGGCAGTACCGTTCACAAAGACCGTACCATCGACATAACATACACATTATGTATGCAGCACGCACAAGCACCGCATCATACGCGCATGACAGCATTCGAACCAGTCCATGGCATAACTGCACAATTCTGTCTGATTCGCACGTGCAAGATGCTGTTCTTATATTGAAGGATGAGTGTTTTGAAACTAATTTCACTTGTAAATATTAAATCAATCTTCTCGGATCCTATTTTTTATCTATAAAATAATATTTAATCAGATGGAAGTTTAACTACCAAGGACAACTAAGTTATTTTGTAATTCCTATAACTGGAGATGTTAATTTAATGCTAATTTGTACTAGTGAACATGTTAATTTCGACTAAATTATGTTAATGGTTGCTTGGTGTTTGGCTACGTGGCGGTAATGAGTTTCCATCGCGTCATTTCAATTATGCTCTATCTCCAAAACATATCCCAACGGGACAGAGACAGACTCCTGTTGGCCGTGTTGACGAAATCTTTTGTGATGAGTCCAAAGTTTTGAAAGATTTTCTAACAAACCTCTCAATGAAATGTTTAACATAGGACTCGAGATTAGCAAGCATTGAACTGACGATGGAATCCCATGTTGTTTCAAGTGCCGGCTATACGTACTTAATATTTTTTAAATATTCTCTAGCCACATATCTGTTTGACCGTGCTAATGTTGAAAACTTTGCTTATAAAGCAAATGATGTT